GGCGGCTGAGGAGGAGTATTTTTAATAATTTGTTCGCAGACTCGGTTTAGGTTTAATTCGCCCAGCTGTACTAGCTTTCGGATGAAAGATGGGGTTTATGTAAGGCGGGGAAGGGTCCTGCTGACCCCCCGAAATTCTGAGACTGTCCCTAGGAAAGGAGGGGGGAGTAGTCAGAGGAGCTTTCCAGGGCAAAAGTGCAGCCGCTCGCCTCCCTCCCGGGGCCAGCGGCCGCCTGAGCCCAGCGAAGGGTGAGGCACACGGAGGGAGCCCGAGACAAAGCCGGGCGCCTCGCTGCCGGCAGAAGTGGGGGCTGCAGGAGAAGGGGGTGCAGGAAGCCAGCTTGGATTCGGGGGGCCTCTGGAGCCGGGAGGATTGGAGCTGCAGTGAGCCGGTGGCCGGGGACGCCTGGGTCCTGCTCCACGCCCCCCTCCCTTCCAGGGCCCCCTCCCTTAACCGGAATAACGTTGCCTCGTGTGGCTCTACCCTGTCTGTTCCAGATATGACCGGGCCTGACGGAAAACGGGCCCGGACCGCCTACACCCGCTACCAGACCCTGGAGCTGGAGAAGGAGTTCCACTTCAACCGCTACCTGACGCGGCGGCGGCGCATCGAGATCGCCCACGCGCTCTGCCTGTCCGAGCGCCAGATCAAGATCTGGTTCCAGAACCGGCGCATGAAGTGGAAGAAAGATAACAAACTGAAAAGTATGAGCCTGGCTACAGCCGGCAGCGCCTTCCAGCCCTGAGTCCTCCGGAAGGAGTCCTGGGCGGCCCCAAGAGCCCTCGCCGCCCCCAGCCCCGGGTCCCTCCGAGCCTCCCCGCGCTGCCGCCGCCCGCTGGGGACTGGATCCCACGAGCCTGCCTCGTCCCAGCCTTGTGTTACGATTTTTCGTTTGGTCTTAGATCTTCCTGTGGCTCCCTCTCTCCTGGACTGGTTAATCTTGTTATTATTGTTAATAATAATGATAATTATTATTTTCCCTCCATGCTCCTTGCTCCCCTCCTCTCACCCCAAATCCACCAGTGTTTCTGAATGTTCGTGTCTGTGGTTGCACTCCTTCCCCCAGGAAGAAAAGAAACTCGCATGTTTAATGTGAACTTTCCCCTCCCCATCTTGTTCTTCTAACTTATTTATAAAAGGATGGTCGCTGTTTTTTGAGTTTCAGCTTGAAACTTCTCTAAGGGGCAGCAGTTGAGGTGGGATGGTGCCGCAGTGCCCGGGCCCAGCTGAGCTGGCCTCGGAGATGGAGTCCATGACTGTGTCTCTTTCCGCCCACCACTTCCTCCTCCCTCTCCAATCCCCAGGCCCAAGTCTCTTAGTGGCTTGGTCCTGGGGTGGTGGGAAGGGGCCAGGGAGGACCGAAGGGGTGATGTTGAGAAGAGGGAAGGCATATAGTGAGATTTGAGTTCCTGCCGCCTGGGTAGGCCCCACAAGGCCTGATCTGGGAGTGTACGGAAACAAAATAATCCTCGGTGTAAAATGTCTGTGTATTCCTCTGTGGATCCATGGGTCTGGTGTAGAGGTCCCAAAGCTTGTAAATATGGGGATAGTCTGGGTCAGACCCACCTCCTTCCCCCCATCCATTTCGCTTCCAAGACTATTTGTAGTGAGCGAGTGGATGCTGTGCTACATGTGAAATCTGTCTTTGCCGGGCCTGTCTCAGTGATTCGCTTTCGTATTTGTTTGTAGCTTTCCTTAAAGTCAAATAAATGTTTCCCCTACTCCATTGCCCTTCCACTTGTCTTTTCTCTGGGGGGGGGGGGG